TTCTGGAAGAGCAATACTAATCCCACCCCCCCCCCCCCCCACCAACCCTGCTTTGCTGCAATGGGAGCTGACACATTTATCTGCCCACCTCCTCCCAGACCAGAAAAGAAGTCTGACCAGCCCATGTGTGAGGAGCACGAAGAGGAACGCATCAACATCTACTGTCTGAACTGTGAAGTGCCCACCTGCTCTCTGTGCAAGGTCTTTGGGGCACACAAGGATTGCCAGGTGGCTCCCCTAACTCACGTGTTCCAGAGGCAGAAGGTAACAGAGCCTCTCTTCCTCTTCTCCAGCCCCTTCCGAATTTCTGTGTGATTGGCTCTCTTTGCCGAAGGGGACTGCCCAAGCCACGTAGCCCTGAGGCCTGGCGGCTCAGAGCAGGGAGTGGTGTAGTGCTGGTGCAAACATGGCCACACACTAGATCCCCAAGAGAGTAAGGGGACTGCTAGCGAGGGAAGGGGTGCCGAGGCTCAGGAAGGTGCGCAGAGGGCAAGGGTCGCTTGTTATTTGTGCATCCGGGAGGTTGCTGAAGACAAGCAATGTGTTGGGACCTGGTCAGAGCTGTTTGAAGTTTAGACTATAGATAAGAAAAGGATTAACTTTTCACGCCAGTCACAGGAATTTTTCTTCATTCACTAAAAAAAGCTACTGTTTCCTGCACCCTTCCCAGGCCTTTGCTCCCCCAACTCCTACTGTATTAGCCTTCAAGTCCAGGTTAAACTGGCTTCCTAGGGTTTCAACCTAGGCCGCTTGCTAAAAGGACTCCTCTCAGTTTGACACATGTCCCCACCCCCCCACCAGGGCGTCAGCCTCCTCACCCTGACCAACCACAGCATGTCCCCAGCTTATCACTAACCTGCCAACCCAGTTTCATCCACTGGCAAGTAGCAACTTGCCCATTTGATGCAAATAAGCGTGCAGTTGTGTGCTCAAATAGATGCAGCCACTCCCCACACCTAGAATTTGAGGAGTTCCATATCTAGCTCCTTTCTATGAAGAATCACACATCCCACATTTGGTAGATATTTTACTGTGAGGGTCAGAGTTGGAATCAAATGTGAAAGCCAAACTTCTGGGCAATACCAGTCATGACCAGTGAGTGCTAACTGCCAAAAAAGCAGAATTTAGCAAGACATCTGTAACATTTATTTATTTTTCAATCCATTTGTGGTTTATTTCCCCTTATCCTTCCACACCCACCCATCCCCCTCAAGTTATGGCATGTTAGAACCGAATGGTACTTGTTTCACACGATTTCCCTCAGAGCCCTAGGAACTCGCGTGGGATGGACAGGACAGACTGGCAGGACTTCTACCCCACTCCTGTTTGGACAGAGCAGCTTCACTCTTATCTACTGTGATTCCACATTAGCTTCCTTTTTCTGAAGAAAGGGTTCTGAAGCTTTACAATGTTTTACAACCACTGTTCTGGTCCAACCTTCTCACTTTATATCCAAGAAATTTAGGGTCCACATTGATTACATGTTTGGCCAACATCATAACCAAGTTAAAGGCAGAGTTGGATCAAGCAGGTAGGTCTCCAAAGTCCCCATTCAGTGCTCCCTGATAGCCAGTCTTGGAAAGCGGAGAGGAATTTCAAGTTGAAAACCCTCCCCTAGAACTAGTCAAATGCTAGAGTTTCAAGTTTGTAATAACTTAGTCTAGTACATATGTATTTGCACACCTAGCACATAGAAGGTGCGTATTACTTGAGTCAGTGATATTTACTATTCTCATTTCCCTAGTAAAATGGATCCTGAGCTACACTAGGAAAATAATTCATTTCGGGTCTCTGAAGTCACATATTGGACTCCACTGAATTTATAAACAATATTTATAATTACTTAGCTTGAATATGCTATTCTCTATAATCTATAATTCAGTGTTTATGATGTTATTACCAAGGTCAGATCTCAGTCTCCATTAAGAATTTGGTGAAAACTATGAAACTTCTTCCCAAATACATTTATATACACATCTAGACAGAATTTTATTACAAGACCAGGAGGTTCACAGGCCTTATAAGCCTGTTACTCCTATGGGGTTCAGTGGATGCTGGATTAGGAATCCATGAGGATAATACTACAATTTATCTACAATCAGGGCTGACTAGAAAACTCCTAAAACTTTGCATCCCTCCTTTCTCTTCATTAGTCTGAGCTCAGTGATGGCATTGCTGTCCTTGTGGGAAGCAATGATCGAGTCCAGGGAGTAATCAGCCAGCTGGAGGACACCTGTAAAACTATTGAGGTAAGTCAAACAACTCCAGCTGAATACACACCAAGCCTGAACTCCTGGGGGGTTGTGGCTGCCTCAGTGCCACACAATCTTTCCTTATAGAATGACCGCCTTCCTCATATGTCTCTAAAACATTCTCCTCCTGGCTCAGGAAGAGAAGTTACCATGTGAGTCAACAAGGCAGATTTTACCACATCTACTGGGGTGGTTGTTACATTTGCTGTTTTTTGTTGGTCAATCCATTTTAAAAGATTAGTTAGAAGAAAAATCAATTCCCAGTAATGAAAATAAGTGTTATCCACCATTATAGTACTATTTCTTTGTGGAAATCCAAATGTCTTAAGGAGTACTAGTTAGTGCTTTGGAAAATCATGTGCAGGTTTGAGCTGCATATCTACACTCTGACAGCGGGGTCACAAAGGGGATAGCAGAAGGAGGAAGATGTGTCTGTGGTTATAGAATGATTTAGTCATGGATTTCATTGAGACTAGAGCTCTGGCTCATTCATATCTGCCCTCTGCCTGGCCCAGTGCCTGGAACATAATAAACACTTGATACAAACTTGGTGAACAAATGCATAAATGACTGGCTGTTTAGCTCACACTGAAGCTTGGCATATAAGAAATACTGTAAATCCACCCTTCCTCAAGATCAAGTATAAACTGTGTAATTGCTGAAGGCAAAAAGCTGAAACCTAAAGAGATTTAGCTATGTGGCAGATACCTTTTCAAGAACTGAAGATTCACAGACTAGTTAAGCCAGGCTGCACAGAGGACAGGTGCAAGACAGCTGGGTTGAGTGCAGGTCTCTGGATCTGTAACCTGGAGCCATTTATTACTCCCTGCTTTAAGTTTTGGGGTTGTTGGTTCTTGTAGTTGGACCTCAGATGCAGTGTTGAGGCACTGTACTGTTCAGTCTGTAGCATATTGTCTGTATTGCTGTAGGCAAGGCCCCTCTTGTTATCTACTTATTTCTTTTTATCTCCATATTCCACTCCTGTTCTCTTCTCTGTACATAACCACTCTAACATGTTTGGTGTTCTGTTCACTTATACTCTTATAAAATCTTGATTATTTTATATGCACGTCTTTTACTTTTATAAATGGTATTGTGCTATATTTCTCGTTCTGCTTTTTTTAAATTATGTATTATGTTTTAAAGATCCCTTCTCATGTACATTCAATCCTTCATTTTTCTCCTCTGTAAAAATGGGGCATAGTACCCACCTTATAGAGTTACTGTGAAAAATTAAGCATAAGCAAAATGCTTAGCACAGTGCCTAGTATATGGTGAGTGCCTGATAAATACCCTGTTTTCATTATTTTATCATTAGAAAGGCAAATTCTATCAGAAGCCAAAGGCTGGTTCCTGGATGATCACTTCAACACATTGGCCATAACCATCTCATTTTAGATTTCTACACCATTAAAATCAATGTCCTTTCTTCTCCATACATATATTCCTGTAAAGATCATGATAAATCTGGGATCCATTTACAGAAGGGAGGTTTTCTTTTGGTGAAGAGCCCAAAGAGATTACAAAATGGACAATATAAACTCTTATCTTTTTACTTATTTACAGTAAAGGCCAAATACAACTTAATCAGTAAACCATGAATCAGCACTCCAGTGTGGTGCCATGTTGAGTCTTGGGTGTATAAATAGGAGTGGGTTGCTTGTGGGTAAGTGAGGTAATCTCTATACTCATCTCTGGTCAAGCCTTCATCAGAGATCTCTGTCTGGGACATCAAGGCTGCAGAACACATACAGGAGAAAAGCTCCGGGGGTCACATTTGGCCTTGAGCAAAGAAATGCAAACAAACCGGGCTCCCTGTAGCCAGCATGCGG